TGTGTGTGTGTGTGTGTGTGTGTGTGTGAGTGAGTGAGTGTGTGTGTGTGTGTGTTGTTTATACATAGTAATTTGCATGTTGTTGTCCTCATTCGATTATGAACTCCTTAAGGGCAGGAATTGTTTTTGCCTTACTTTATTTCCCTAGCACTTAGCAGAAAGCTTAGCACTAGTAAGTATGTAATAAATGTTTATTGACTTGACTCAACTCTCATTTAAGACTATTGTGCAGTAAGGTAACAAAAGGGAGAGTTTGAGAGAAAGCTGGAGAGACTTGTATGAACTAACTGATATAGAAAGAATTGAACAGAACCAGGAGAGCAATTAATATGATAGGTAACAACAACACTGTAAAGACAGATTCTAAAAGATTTAAGAATTCTGAGCGGTGCAGTCACCAATCATGATTTGAGGGTAGGAATGATGATGCATGCTACTCCCATCCTGAAAGAGAGAGGTAATGGACTCAGTGGGGAATGAGACGTATACTGTTGGATGTGGCCAATGTGACAATTTGCTTTGCTTAACTATGTACTTTTGTTAGAAGGGCTTTGTTTTTCTTTGGGGATGAAGGAAAGATAAGAGGTATAAAAGATAAATGCTTTGTTAATTTAAAAAGTAAAATAAGATAAAGCTGTCATTCAAAGTTACCAAATCCTTATAAATTGATCAGTTCAGGATATGCCTCTAGATCCTGCTATACCCACACAGATAGAATCGAAGTTCTGCAAAAGGGGTTCCTTTTTCCCCAGGGATACCAGATGCCAGAACTCTCTTCCCAGGACCGAAAGCTAAGATTCTGACCCAGAAAGAAATATACAGACCTATAATATAGTGGGACAGAGTAGCCTTGCTATTAGGAGGCATGGGGGCCTCACTAGCCATTTATTCTTCCAAAGCCCAATTCTTCAGTCTCCTCTGTATGAAGAGCCAGGTTCTTTAAAAACCAGCCCCCAAAGCCGCTTTGTGTTAGTTCTTATAGTCAGTGCAGGACCACTCTGCCAGGATAGGAGAGGGATAGCTTCCCCAACGTAGCCGCAGGGAAAGGATCAACACTGTGGCTATTCTGACGTTTCATGTGATTCTTCAAGGGACACAAGTGGGAGCCTCCTGCAGCCTGTGACAGCTCTAGGTCACCATTGTCTGTTCCCCTCATGACACGATTGGTGACATATTTTAAAGTGAAAAGAAGAACCTTTTAGTTAATGAATTCAATTTATAGAATAAATTGTACCTGTTAAATAAGAATGCCTCTGGAATGATACGTTAAATTGCTATTAAATTTTCTAGGGGGACTCTGAGAGAGTAATGATAATTACCGGACCGAACATGGGTGGAAAGAGCTCCTACATAAAACAAGTTGCATTGATTACTATCATGGCACAAATTGGTTCCTATGTTCCTGCAGAAGAAGCTACAATTGGGATTGTGGATGGTATTTTCACAAGGTAAAATTATTGGTTCCATTTTAATATATTCCTGAAAATGAATCACATTAAATTTTCTTTTCATTTAAGTATTTAAACTGATATATTTTTCTTAAATGTTTTGGTTCCTGTAAAATTTATTTCATCATGAATCATAGAGCTGCAGAGTGCCTTAATGCTCATATACTGTGGCATTTTCACTTTACACATGAGGGAACTAAGGTCCAGAGAGGTAAATGGACTTGTTTGAGGTGGTTTAGAACATTTATGACCTGGAATTAGAAGAACCAGTTTTTGTCTCAGCTCCACCATATTCTAGTTGTGTCAAATAGTGGACAACCAGTTGTGTCTAGCTGGTGCAACTAGAAAATGATAAAGCTGTGACAGAAACTTCAAAGTCATTTTACCTCTCTGGGTCTCAGTTTCCTCATCTGTAAATGAAGGAAAAAGTCTGCTAAAAGGAAAAATACTGATGAGCTTATATGCGTAATATATGTGTGATAGTGCTTTGGTTCCGTAAAGTTCTATATAAATACCAGCTATGATACTGGTAACTATAACTTAATTTTGCTTTTTATTGTAAGGTGTAAATTTAATTGCCATTGACAAAGTATAGGTGCTCATATATATAAGCTAGCATAGTAAGATGAGAAAAACATGAATACAAGGTTAATTTTTTTTTAATTTTAAGATTTCTCTTGTGGTTTAAAGACTGGTTGTGACCTAACTTAAATTTCATCGTATTTGAAGATTATGAGAAAATAGAATTATTTTATTGAATCAGCAGCTTGAACCATGGTAACTTTAAATTTAACTTTGCTTAAGAACATCTCTCTGACATATTGTCTCACTTAAAAAGATTTTACCAGTTGTCTGTTGCATAGTTGATTTATAATTCAGGTTTATATTTACATAACAATTTATCACCTGGGACTTATTCTTCATTTGCTCTGTGGTGTTCACTTTCAGAGGACATTAAAATATCACAATTCAAAACTGACTTAATTATCATCTCTATGCAGAATGACTCCCAGGTTTCTGTATCCAACCCTAATATCTCTTCTTAGCTTCTGTTGCACATCTCCAACTGCCTTTTGGACATTTTATACTGCCCTACAGGCATCACAAAATTAGTGTGTCCAAAGCAGAAGCCATCTTTCTCCCCAAATCCACCTCATTCCAAAACTTTCCAATTTTGCTAAAGGGTACTACTTTCCTTCCAGTTACCAAGGTGCACAGCCGTGGCATTATACTTGACTCCTCACTCCACTTATCCAAATAATTGTCAAATCCTGACCTTTCTGCCTCCAAAACACCTCTTGCATCTATCTCCTTCTCTTGACAGACATAACCATCATTCTATTGTAAGATGCCATCAACCCTCACCTGTCTCAAGATATAAAATCAACACAAAAAAAGTAGGACAACTTTTAAAAAAGAAAATACTAGAGGAAAAAAGTTTTTTTTTTCTGATAACATCATAACCCACCTAAGCCTTACAATATTACTATTTATTATGGGCCAGCATTGAGTATAAGGAAGGCTTGTCTTAAATACTGTGTGAGTGATTTTAGTTACTGACATACTAAAAAGACCTTATTATAAGCTAGTTTTTCCAGTAAGGCAGACCCACAAAATAGAACCTGAAGATACCTTGAAAATGAGGTTCCTGTGTAATAATTTGAATGTCACAAAATACAAATGCTTCATTGAAAAATAAGATGCAGGATCTGGAATTGCTTTTCTTACATTCTCAGTGGTATGCTTTGTATCATCACCTTCAGAAAGTAGTGAAGATTTCCTGAATTTTAGACCAAAGGGTCATACATGTATAGCTAGAAAAGGGTGTTAGATTTCATCTAGCATAACTTCCTCATTTTGGAGATGATGTTACTGAAACCTAGAGAGGTAAAATAATTTGTCCAGTGTCATACAGCTAAGTGAACTGCGAAACTGGAATTTGAATTCAGATCTTCCAATTTCAAATTTGCCATATTATAACCATTTTCAGGTTCCCGTGGATTCCTTATACTTTTTGGTTCTGCAGCATGAATGGACAATTTATTAATATTCATAATTACTGTACATAATACATAAGTTAAAAAAAGTACTACTCTGAAGAGTCAGCTAGGTGGTACAGTGTTTAAGACTCAGAAAGACCTGAGTTTAAATCCTGCCTCATATACTAACTAGCTCTGTGACCCTAGAAAAGTCATTTAACTTCTATTTGCCTCAGTTTCCTCTTCTATAAAAATGGGAATAACAATAGCACCTACCTCAGAGTTGTTGTGAGGATCAAATGAAATTGTATTTGTAAAGCATCTAGCCAGCCTTATAGCACTGTATAAATGCTCTGTAACTAATATGATTTATGAGATTGTGTGTGTGCGTGTGTGTGCATGTGTGTGTGTGTGTGTGTGTTTGGTTTTCTTTCCATAAGGAATATGTTGAAACATAGCCATTTGTATATTCCACGTCGTTGGTTTCCTTTGAGAGGAATCTACCTGTATCTTTAACTAGAAACTTGTAATAGTTTTGTAGACCATGTAGGATACATTGTTTCATATGAGCTTTTACAAGTTTAGCATTTTCCTAGATTTCCCATCTTGATTTTAAACGATGTTTCCATGGAAATGGAAAGGTTGCTACAGTGGTTTTTCCCCTGGTTATATTTGGCAGTTATGTATTATAGCTTTTCTAAATTGACTTTAAATACTGCAGTGTGATCTGACTCTAACACTTATGAGGGAGGGTTGCTTCAGAGAAAGGAACTTTTTTATTGCAGAGAGTAATAATTTTGATACTTGTGAAATATTTCACTGTTACTGGGTGAAAGCATGCTACTTATCCTAGTTATTACATACAATCCACCCCACATTAATATAATGAAGTGGTATTGTGTGGTGTACTTAAATTTGTCATGTCTTATTTCTTACTGCTTCTGTAATATATGTAAAGTCTGCATTCAACACCACAGTTTGCATGCTTTTCATCACTGTTTATTGTCCATTCTGACAAATAGCTTCCTTAATTATTTGTCACTTTCTAGTTCTCTTCTCAGCCTGTAGTGCTTGGATCCTTTTCTTTCGTTTTGCAACTTTCCCAGAAGTTTGAGTAATTTATCCTTTTCTGGATCAATTTCCCTTTTCCTGGGGAATGCTTTTCGTTTTTTGAAGGTGTCAATGTGTCATGACGTTGCCATGCACAGTGGAATGTAACTGGAACAATACCTTTGTTGCTAAACTACATTTAAACAGGAAAATAAAACCTTGCCTTGTGCTGTCACTGAATGTGTGTATAACAGTGCCTTATGTTTCCTCAAACAGAACCCTTCCTTCTGTGTTAAGTACAAATTTCAACCGGACTGGCCTCCACTAACTTAATGATATTCTAGCTGTGAATGACTAGGCTGGGGTGACAAGCTTGTCCATAATCCTGTAAGTAGGCTAATGAAACCTACAGAAGATTTCACCTTTATTTCACTGGTTGGTTCTATGGAGGATATACATAGACAGATAGATAAAACAATTTCTACCCTCAAGAAGCTTATAGTCCAGTTTAGGACATAATTAAAAAGAGTGGTAACTACTACTACCACTAGCTAACATTTACAGCACTCTAAGGTTTGCAGAATGCTTTACATATATTATCTCATTTGATCCTCACAACAGCTGTGGGAGATAGGTGCTCTTATTCCCATTTTACAGATGAGGAAACTGAGAGAAGCAGGTTAAGTGACTTGGCCAGGGTCGGGCATTCAGCCAGTAAACATTTATTAAGTCCCTACTGTGTGCCAGGCACTATGGAAAACACTAGAGATACAGGTATGAAAAAGAGTCCCTGCTCTCTTGGAGCTTACAATCTAATGAGCAAGACAACACACAAAGAAGCTGAAAAATGGAGAGGGGTACCCAGTGTGGGAGCCTGATGGAGACCAGGCCAAAGGAGAGCAGCTTGTGGGAAATGGGGTGATGGCTGGCCTGAGAGCTCTCTTTAAATGGAGGCTCTGAGAAGAGTTCTGTGCTGGCTGTCCTGTCCTCCAATCAGAGGTGCAGAGAGCACTGATGAGGTGTGAGTACCAAAGCTGATGCACTCTCAGAGGAGGATGAGTTTCTCAGAGGGGGATGAGGTTTCCTGAGGCCGGGATGGAGTCCAGTCCAAAGAAGTGTACCTGGTGGGAAATAGTACGCAGCTACGAAGTGACTGAGGTTGGATTTGCATTCAAGGCTTGCTGACGCCCAAGTCCAGCACTCTGTCTGTCTGCCACACAAGTGATTACAAGGTCCTTCAAAAGTCTTAGTACAGTTTTAAACTATTAAAGCTTAACATTATAATTCCCAATAGACTGTTCATAAATCTTTACTAACATGAGTGGGAGTTGTTTCTAAGAGTACTAAACACTCAGCAGCTTATTAATGTTATTGTTATTATTGATGATAATGTATGCTTATCTTTTTCTTTCTGATCTGGAATGGTGATTTTATTGGTGCAAAGAACAAACACCCTGGAAGGAAACTTCCCTTTATCAAATGTAGATCAGCCGCTATTCTAAAATTTAATTTTTGAGGGTTGCCTGGGCCACTGGGAATTTAAGTGATTGTCAAGAGTCTCAGAGCCTTTAGATGTCAGAAGAGGACTTGAACCCAGGTTTTTCCAACTCCAAGACAGACTCTTTCTCTACCAAGCTGAGCTTCTTTTCTCCACCATTCATTCTGTTTGACTGCTACTTTCTGCCTTGTCTCCTCCTGTATACTTGGAAAGAACCCTTTTAATGCTCTCTTTTGTTCTCTTGTTCTTGTTGTCATCCTTAGTTGCTATGTTTGTTTCTTTTTTTTTTTTGTATTTTTCTTGTTTGGGGTGGCTGAGAGGCAAATGATCTCTTCAGGCTTGGTTTTCTTTCTAGGAATGTTCTGGATATCTTTTTTCTTGTATTAATTTTTGCATTATGGTATTAAGGTTTGTTTTTTTAACTCAGTATGTTCTTTTGGGAAATCTATAATTCTCAAGTTGTTTATAACCAT